GAGAAATCAGCCCGACTGAAGGTGAACAGAATTTGAAGAAACAACAGTAGCGGTGAAGACGTAGCACTCATCTGATCGGACGTCAGACGACTACAAGCGAGCCGAGCCAAACATCAATTATTGCTGCTGCTGGTGATGGTGCTGTTTCTGCTGCTGATCAAACAGGATTCGGGTGGGTAACCTGATGTATTACAGTCATCGAAACCGCCTTTTGCCATTCGCCAAAGTTATCAAATCGAATAAAAAGACACTCAAGTGCCGACGAGCGCATTTGTCACTTAAAAACTCGATTCCGTCGAACGGGATCGAGCCGTCGGCGAGACGAACGATTAACGATATGGGTAGTTGCCAACTAGTTTTTGACCTTTTATCTGTTCTGAAAATCAAAGAACACGTGATGCTTTTGATGATCACTAGAGTTTACGAATAACCTCAAGAATAGACCCCAAGGTTTGAAATCACTGAAAGAACTAGCCTCATTTACCAATTACGAGATCTACATCGCTCGCTCGTCAAAAGTGGCCACCCGGCTAATCTCACTTACGACCAGATGATCTTCTATTTCGAAAGGTCGATGTCATAAAATAGCTTAAAACTCTTAATGAGCGCCTGAATAGTCGAAAAGCGCTTCCCGAAAAGAGAAATTCCACCTTTTCCTGGAGGTAAAAGGCAAGTTGAGCATCGATTCAATTAAGTTCGACTGAATTACACCAGTTTTGAGACGATACTAGAGATTGAATGCTGACTTCGTTGCATTCCATCTAAGCCAACCAAGCCTCCCATCACTTCGTGGTCGCTTAATTGGTATCCCAGACAAGTCACATCAGTGGCCAGGTTTTTTAGGACCACATCTATTATACAACTCGTCGAAATCTCCGGCGCATTACTGAGCATTTCCATTTACGCGTGCACTAGATGCCCTCTCGTGAAATTGGCCTTTCATTTCAAGTGGATAATCAGAATCCTTCCAAAAAACTTAAGGCACGAGGAAGAATCCCATCAAGTGCTCGAAGGGAACGATCGATTCTCATCCTCTACATAGCTAATTAATCAAAAGCTGCGAATTCGCCGTGCTTCGTCTGATGTCCATAATAAAAACTGCTTGAGCATGCTTCAAATTTATTTCAACACTGATACATTGTACAGTTCATTCACCATCACTCTCTACCTCTATTGTCAAATCTGATAAGCAAGCACATTAAATAGCAATCAACAAGCACAACAATTAATCAAACAAAAATGAAAATATCCAAAAGTACGGGATATTTAGTAGTAATATGTTATAAGTAAATAAAAACTACTTGAACTAGTTACTTCAACTTTGCTTGAACAGAAATGCATTTTACAGTTCATTCATCAACTTTTCTCACATCTTTTGTCAAATTTACGCTACAAATTCGGTGATTAGGAAAACGAAACAAAAAAGCAGAAGTTACGGTACATGTAATACGCAAACTTGCAGATGTTAATTTGGCATAGGTAATTTCACAAACAACCGAATAAACCACGTTCAGAGATAGAGAGGGCAATCAAGGTCGCCTACAAGTTTTCACACCAGTTNGAAAAGGCAAAAATTGCTCAGAGATATACTGACTCTAGAAGACTACAGCAGAAATCATAGATTGGAGTTCACCTCGAATATTCACCTATGATCTTTTAACCAACAAAATTCGGACATTCCCTTTTCAGTGTTTGGCACCGCGTCCTTTTCCACGGCCACGCAGAGCAGCACGAGCTCTTCCTCTCATCCTGGCGCTCATCCTTTCTGCTGGAATGTCCTGATGTGCGCTACTAGGTCCTACGTGGCGGATGCCTGGCTGGTACAGTCCAATGGGGCGACGACGTCGTGCAGCAAATTGGGCTGCTCCACTTTCGTTGCTGCAAAATACAAAATTGTTCCGATGAATGTAAAATTAAGGATTAAAAGGCCATTACCTGCTTGAACACTGGTCTTCAGCGCCATAAACAATGGGAATACGTAGGCGAGCCGTCTGCGGCGCAGCGGATCCTCCTGCACCAGATGTCGCTAAGGACGATGCAGTGGTATGACGAAGTGTCGAAGAGCTTCCAGCGGTCGAACTGTTACCCGTGTCCGTTCTACCTTCATCATCAGCTTCTTCCACAGCCGATGCCGCTTCACGATCTTCGTCGTCAACAAAGTCACCCGAATGGGCAGGGGCATCGAGTGAATTGTCTGCAATAAAAGAAAGTCGAATCATGTGATAAGGAAAGGAAGAAAAGTCGTCAAAAGAAAGGCAAAAGGAGAAAAAAACGTGAAGGATATGTTTACAAAGAAACGACAAAAATAGGTTTTCCTTATTCCCAGTCCAAATAATCATGAGTTTACACTGAGAGGGAGAACCTGGATTAACTCAAAGCTTCTCAACGCTTCTATCTTACTTAGTAGGCCGATAACCAAACAGCCGATCCGACCAGAAAAACCAACCCAATGGCGGTGGTCACACATGTGAGAAGCCACGCAGGGGCCGGCAGTTGATAGGGGAAAGACTTTAGAGATTAAACTAGAAAAAAAAAGCATCTGGAACACCGACCGTCAGCAGCCAGCGCTTCATCATCTTGACCAACAACCAGTCCATCACCATCGTCTAATTCATCATCACCATGGTCATCTTCCATTTCCACTTCACCAATCTCTTCAGCATCATCTTCTCCGTCAGATAGTACCTGCTTACAAAATCACTGAGTGCATTTATTTTGCTCTAGGTCTACTACAACTGAACTTACCACGACATCGACAGAATCGCCATTGTCGATTTCTTCGTCCGACTCCATTCCCCCATCATCTGGAATGTAACTAATTGATTCAGTTTTGATGTGATTCGAGTGAAAAAGAACTGGGACGATCGTTTTGTTTCACTAACCTTCATCTTCATCAAAATCCTCCATCGACTGTTCAGACACGTCCTCATCAGATAAGAGTTCAATCTGCAAATCAAAATCCTACATATATGCATTAGAAAAATCCCAGTCACACATAGACAAAAATGTTTGAGTTTCATAGGCCCCATTTTTCCGAAAAGTCCCAACTGAAAGTATATCCCATCATATCAGCTCCCAAACTTCTACATCCCCATAGCAAATCCTCTCAAAGGTCTCTCGGACGGAGGAGAAGGCGTTGGAGGGCCTCCTCCGAGTACACGCCACATATCACAACATACATGTTGTACCGAATCTTCCTGTCCTTCTTCGAGAACTTCGATGTCGTCGTCCCCCTCGGCATCATCCGGAACATCCATCACTTCCATATCCGCAGCCGCTGCCATTCCACTCTCAGGGATCACGTCTGAAACGAACGATTTACAATGGGAAGCTCAGTATGGTGAGGAATATAAACAAGCTCATGTATGTATTTGGAAATAGCAATACAGAATCATCAAGCGAAGCCCAAAAGACAACATGCTCCAAACACGTCTCCTAGAGGGTACAGAAATTGTCGAATTAACAGTAGACAACTGGTCCCTACCGAGATCACGTCGCTCTTCGCTACTGGTGACCACCTCGCTAGGACTATCACGATGACGCTTTGATTCGCAGGTAGACGACTCGTTGGTGGCACTACGTTTGCGTCTTCCATCTGACGACGACACCGGCATTCCGCTACCGCTATCACGCGATTCGCCGGCAGAATCTGAAACCGGAGTTTCATGAAGAGTGTTGTCAACTGATGACATAGAGCAATGTACCGTTATGTCCAGTACCATCGTCGTCGTTGACATCTCTGCGAACCTCACCACTGCCGCTTACCTTAATCAAACAATTACAACCAACATTTACTACCGCCAATCGCGCAGATTACCTGACTGCTCTGCTCCGCTTCCGTTACAACTGAGCCGCATCCCATGTTTCCTTCTGAGGAACTGTTAGCAGTTGAAGTGCTCACCTTGAACATGAACCACTCAAAAAATTGAAATTTCAGAACTTTAAGCACTTAAAGCAGTCTTTCTCTCTGGCTCGCTGCGGAATTCAATTGAGGTAGTTGAATTAGAATTGAAGAAAGGACTTACATTCTGCGCAGCAACCGGAGCGGACTTGCCAAATAGAGACTGTCCTGGACTTATGCGAGCAGCAGACGAGGTTGCAAGTGAATATGTGACAGGAGATGATGGAACTACCTGAAATTAGTACATAACAGATAATGGCTGAACCAACCTTCAGAAGAAAACTTCGGAACAAACAAATTCACAAGCAGATCTGACCTACCTGAACTGTAGGTGCAGTTTCTTGGTGTGCGTCATCGCTACGACTCTCCGACGATTCTTCGCCAGTAGCAGCCGAGGAGGACGACTGAGTCGAAGAGAATGCCGGTTCGACACTCGCACTCGATTTGAACAACTTTGGAACTTGAGATGCCAAGGATACAGTAGGAGCTGAGCTTGCGGATGCAGACTGAGTAACACCCGCATGGGCTGCGGTCTATAAACAGCAAATTTTACTTCTTCTGAACAGAAAGAAGAAGTCGAAATGGAAAAGACGAATTCAGAGGCTTACTCCAGAAATTGTGTCAGCCGACGTGGTTACAGTAGGTGGGTTTTGATAGCGAATTGGTGAATCGAAAGCCAACCGCTTTGGAGTTGAAGCTGACACTGGAGCACTTGCGCTAGAGGCATTACTGAAAAAACAGGCCGATTCGCAATCAGTTGATATCTATACGAAGTATATGGGGCCTTACCTATCAGGCAGTGAACCAGTTGACATCACCGAAGACGCAGACAAAGAAACTGCCGGACGCATTTGATTTCCAGACGACATTGCAGCGATTTGACCTTCCAGATACTAAAAGCACATGAGAGAGAATATTACTTGTCAATTACATTAACAACACCACACTTACCGTAATGCGAGCCAACAGGTCATTTTTCTCAGCATTCAGTTGAGCTACCCGAGCTTGCGCCTTCTCGAAGGATGGACCCATCGCACTGAGGCGGAATTTCACCTCTTCGAATTCTCCTATTTTTGTCGTCAAATCATTACTCAACTTCTGAAAATCAGCGATCGCTTTAGGTGACACAAATATCTTGAAAGTTCTAAGATCCCATTCCCGTTCCCGAACAACAAAACCAAAAGTATTGACGAGAACGCACCGCATTTTCTTGCTCTAAGACAGCGAGACGATCTTTCAATGCTGTTACATCCGTAGAGGTACTGAAACACATGTTGTTCAAGGGGTTCCTTATTAAACCCCTTCACAAACAAAATTTCTGAGTTTTGATTTTCGGACCTTGTCTCAGCCGATGACGACGATGAAGCGGCAGACTTCAAGCGCGATAGTTCGGCTTCCAAATTGGCAATTTTCTGCTTGTCTTCGGTATTCTGAAAGCACGGTATTTATATGGACCGACGAAACCAGAATTTCAGTCTCTAAGACCTCTGAGGTTGCTTCCTTCTGTGCAATCTCCTAATCAGTTAAGTTCCGCCATCGAAGATACGTAAGATTCAATAGCCATTTGAAGACAGGCTAGCCGCGGAAGTGAAAGGATAAAGAAAAGCAAACAACGGAAATGATGCTTCTCAGCGGGCGATTTCTCTTATCTGCACGGCTAGTGGCGCAGGGGAAAGCGAAAGTGCGCGTTCATGATGTGCTGACCTCAATCCAACGGCTTCTATTCACGAGATACCGACCCCCAGCTGTCATGTTCTCCTACTACTCATTCATTTTACTTCTTCTATTTCAAGCGGACCTCTCAAGATCACAAGCACAACACATTCCCTTTTATAACCATCCACAAAATGAAGTACCTCTGCTAAATCGAATCCAAATAGCCGACTATCAGGGTAATGCTAATGTAAGTTTCATATTATACTTTATTTGATATGATCTGGATGGAGTGAATGTGAAGAAATCGTTTTTCTTTTGCTAATCTGACCTTGGCTGATAAAGGGAGCTACTGGGAACGAAATCGACGCTGGAAGGATCATTGGACCCTTCATGACACCATTTATGGAGATGTTCGAAGTAATGCAGCAAAAAGTCAAAGCTCGAGCGTACATGGACAAGGTTGGCTCCTTTTCTAATTTGAACGCTTCAGGACGGTCGGCGAGGACTCATACCGAAAAATGCATTACGATTTCGTGGCCTTTCAATTGTAAAGATGTAATATGAAAATACAACAGTTCCTACCATTGATTTTTCCAAACTTCTGTACCATTTCACTAGAAATTCGATCAAAATGAAAGCATTTGCCTTGGTTGATGCGATTTTAACAAAATATATAAATGCCCCGGGCCATTCCGTGCCAAAAAAGAACTACTTCTCAAATGTGTTGATCACTTTTCATTTCAGATAGCCCGCGAACAAGAGGAGAGTCCACTGAGTAGCTCGAGAAGTCTCTTTGAGATGTTTGAGCGCCTCCAGAAGCCTACTACAACAACAACTCCACGACCTCCACTTCTGGAGAGACTACTGCAGCCGTACATTGAGCCTTGGAGGAATCAGCTCAATGAATTATCAAAAGAAATGACTGGTATTACAATCATTCCTACTACTACTACAACTACTACCACTACTACCTCCCCTCCAACAACGACACCCCAAAATATAATCGAGCGATCCCTTCGAATGTTCTTCCCCTCTCTTGACAAAGAAAAACAAAAAACGTCTACCAGCCCTTTCCAAAAACTTTTTGATGCAAACACGTTTGAAAAATTGTTCTTTCCACGACTGAAGCGAGAAGTGCGTGAGAGAAGGCAAAGTCTGCCTCCTCTCCCACCTCCTACCATAGAATTCCTCAACCCTTTGAGAGAATTGGAAAAACCTATTCTTGAGTTGGCCAACCCATTCACTCCAAATCCACTGATGTCACTTTTCACCACTAAGCAGCCGTTACCGGTACTGCCTCCAGTGGAGAAGAGCAAATTGCTCGACATGCCTCTTCCCAAAAATCCTTTTCCGGAACCTCAATTCAAACTACAGGACCCTTTCTATAACCCACTCTTCCCAGACAGGAAAAGCAAGCTCTTTGACCTTTTAGCAGGTGGTGAAGCGACTCGAATTCTAGGATAACTCTAATCTGTTATTCACTGGCTGTATTTGACCCGTTAAAATAGCAACTCCGACACGAATCCCCTGTATTTTTAAATATTTACCTATTTTATAAAGATATGGAATAAATAGAAATAATAATGACAGATATCAATGAATTCATACAAAGGATAGCTATACGTTTCTATCCATAGACAAATTTGACCTTATGTTACTGCTTGTTATTAACTATTATCATCTGTTATGAACTACGGGCCACATTTTTGCAATGCTGTGAGAAAATTATCAAGTTTTAAAACGTTCAAAACATTTTTAGACCCTCCATTAACTGTTCATAAATAATTATCATATCTGATGACTGTGAATTTACTTGTTGTGGACTTCCTAATAAATTGTCTTTCCAGAATTGTACACTATCGAACTTAGTGCTTACATAACTTTTCCTGGGAAGACGTTAAATTTCCCATGAAAAAGTGGTTCCCTCGAGCCACAAGGACAAAATTCCGTCGTCACTTCTCTCAGACCCAATTTTTTCTTCAAGCAAATGGTTTTGCGTAACGTACATGTACACCGACACAGCAGTTCGTTGACTGCTTCGACAAAAAACAGCAACATAATGGTTTTGGAACTCTTTAAGATTCAACACGTTCAATAATCACTACAAGAGTGCTGTAAGAATCAAGAAGACCAAGGCTCTGGCAAGAATTTGTCCGTGTAACTTGACCCTGTTTTATCTCTATAGTGCTCCCGTTGCACCAATGCAGAAAAAAAAATTAGTTTTGTGGTCACCAAAATTCGAGGAACGAGAGTTGGAGCGAGTGAGAGCGAATGAGAGGTGAACAAAACAGTCCTTTGCTCAACGACTTGGAGTTTCCAAGTCAGACTAGAACCACGTACTTGGATGGATCAGGAGAATTAATGGCAGCAGCCACTTCTGTACTAATTTGTCTTGCCAATATTCCCATTATTTTTAGAAATCAGTTTTACTGGAAGAGAACCCGAAGAAAGAGAAAGAAAAGAGAGAATGAGACCAGAACTCTGTCCATGTAAGTGATCCATAAGATGGTCTATAGCGATAAACTAATAATTCCATGAGGAAGAAAATTCTTGACATGCAGACACTTTGGTCAGGCAAGCTGAGATTGTGCAATAACAACAGAAGAAAACCCGTACCTCATCACGATAGCGGCGAGCAAGTTTTCTTGTAGCTTCAAACTTAGTACAGGTGTCACTGTGCTTAGCCATCCACTCTTTTACGCGAGCTCTAGAAAGAAAAAATGACTGAGCACCTCAAAACCCGCAGCATCAACAAAATAAAAGGCAAAAAAACACTAGTGAGCGAAAACATACTCTGCAGCCATCTTAAACTTCTCTGCTTCTACAGCTTGTGAATTAGCCTTATTGAGTTCTGCTTCCATCCGTGTGAGTTTTGAACGACATTGTTCCAACTCGGCTCTAAAAAATGTGCTGTGTGAAGCAATCAATAGGAATCCCAACTAAAAAACAAACTTTATTTCTTGATCCCCTCTGAGAGCAGCTTCAGCGGCACGCTGGCGCAATAGATCAGCTTCTTTCTTCTTTGCAGCTAACTCAGATGACAACATCGTGACTTTCGAGGAGGCTTCATTGCAGGAAGCGTTCACCGCTTCTAGCTTCGTCTCCAACTCCCTCTTCTTAACAAATATATGAGATTAGAAGAGCTCGCATTTGGCACAATTGAGGAACTGTGTGGAACCCCCTACTACCATGTTTTGTAAGCAGAAACTTTGTTGTTAACTGTGTTGTTTATTACTTGTCATAAGGAGAAAAATTTTATAATCGCAAATGTTAGCTCAGTTCAAGATCCTCAAGTTCATCAACAATGGGAGCTCAAACTAAAACAAAGCGAAATATCCCAACCTGTTTCGCCAGCTCAGAAGAAACTTTGTGTAGCTTCTCGTTCTCATTCCTGAACACAGTATTCTGTCGTTGAACCGAAGCCATCGCTTCCAGCCTTTCCGCCTAGAAAGTGAACCGAATGCACATTGGAGTTCCGAATTTTGGCTTGAAGACTCACCAATTGAGCTTTCTCCGCAAGAGCATTAGCTGTTGCTATTGCTTCGGACTGGAGACGTTGAACAGTTGCAGCCAACTCGTCACGATTAGAACGAATTTCTGAGACCTCTGCTCTCAATCGCTTCACCTCAACTTCTGCACTCATACACCTCGAAATTGCCTGAAAATGAAGTTCAGAATGACTAACACCTGGAACAATTACAATGGAATGTGAGGAATTTTGCGGATCGGGTACCTTTTGCTTCTCCTCGCGTAGGAAAGCCACCACACTGTTTAGTGACTCGACAACCGATGTTTCAGCACTCAGAGACAGTTCGTTGACATCCTTCATTTCCGCCGATGAACTTGCTTCGGTGACCCGAGCAACTACCTGAAAAATTCTGGCTTTGCCAGTGAAAAGGGATACAGCAACGGTTGCACTCACATTTTCATATTTCTCCAACAACTGCTCCAACTTTTGTTCATATTCCTTGATCCCTTCATTATATTTCACTTCTGCAACTGACATCTCTTCTAGGCGTACTGCCAATGTACTTTCAGTGGCACGAAGATTCTCCTCTGCCTTGAACAAGAATATACTTTGAAGATGAATATATCAACAATATAGAACTCAACCTACCACTCGGACTCTCTCATTTGCATTGAAGAGCTCAAGTTCTTTGGATTCTAGCCTCGAGTTCTTCTTCATGATTTCTTCATCTCGATCAGCAAGGCTGACTTTGAGTTCATTCAACTGATCCATTAGCTGAATTTGATTTCAGAATTCAATAAAAAAAATAAATAAAATAAAAGGAGAAAAAGAATTGACACTACAAAGTATTCAAAATCCACAAAACGTAGATTGTGTATTCAGGGGTACTCACCTCATTGCGTTCAGATACTCGTCTCTCTATCTCGATGCGAGCAGCATTTAGTGACTCATTCAGTTCAGAAACAGACTTGTCAGCATCTTTAATTTGGGCCTCCAGAATATCCACCTTCAGCTGGAGCTGGGACGATTGCTGAAATGTTGACCTTTTTAAGCTACTCCTTTCAAAACAAAGTACTTCTAACTCGTCTACCACAAAAATAACCCCTAAATCTAACCTGTAATTGGTCCATTTTCAAATCAGACATTTCATTTTCCAATTGAACAATTCTATTTGAGAGCTCAGCTACTCTGCTTGTGAGTTCCTCAGAACGGCTTAAAACTATACTTTAGAAAGACTAACTCAAAGTGGTCTAGTATCGATATACTTACGCTTCAGCGCTAGCCGCTCTAGCTTCGAGCCGTTCTCTCTCCATCGAACCTAACTCAGCCATCTGTTTCAAATTAGTTTCCATTACTTTACTGTGAGATTCCATTCTGAATATTCTCTCTTAGTATTCGTAAAGTGGCTGTATTTCTTGATTGATACTGTTACCTATCGTTCTCGTTACTCTTCTTTATTGCAGTGCTTTCTGCCTCAGCCAGTTTCGATTTCAGCTCATCCAGCTGGCATTCAAGGTACTGCGAACGATTTTTCAACTGCTGGCATTCTTTCTGCAGACGTTCAGGCGTCATTCCTAAACAAACCTCCCATAAGCGAAATAATATTTTATGTAAAATCTGACCCAGTAATAGTAACGTAAAATATCTAAACAAAACCAGTTTTAAACAGAAATATGAGCATTTCGCAACAGCTAGTCTTAAATACTGAAACTGGAAACGCCTTGTTCACCTATTGTACTTTCTTGAGCAGTATATTGAGCTTGTATATTGCTCAAACGCGCTCGCAGATCAACAAGTTGCCTCTCGCTCAACGCCAATTCTTGTTCCTTTTCTCCAAGTTGTTGCCGCAGAAGGGAAAGTTCTTCCTCATATCGTGTCTAAAGATAGAGGTAACCATATAAAAACGACCATAAAAGTCAGAAAACGTTTTCATTATGCAACTGACCTGAACCTGCTTCGCGTCATTTCTAGAGTTTGAAAGTTGATCCGTAAGACGCGCATTAGATGTTTTGAGGCTGTCGCGTTCGAGACGAATCACCTAAAGAGGACATTTTGAAGAGCGATATAAATGACATCTTAAATGAACTGAAACGCACATCGAGTTGAGATGCTTGATGAGCCATTTTTTCAGATTCGATGCGAGAAAGACGGGCGGTCATCTCATTCAAGGACAACATCTGAAAACGACAAATTTCGAGAATACTCAAAATTTCTTGAAGTATTCTTTGGATCGAAAAAAATCTGAAAAGCTGACCATTTGTTGTTCGCTGAATGACGTTCTTTTGTGAGCCTCAGCTTCCGACTCCAATCGATTTACCGTCAACCGCGCATGCTGCAGTTCCTCTGTCACTGCGCGAAGTTCGATCCTTCAATAAATATGAATCATTTTTGAGCAGGATACATGAGAAATATTTGACATAGATGAGTTTAAGAATGAACTCTTAAAAATTCACATAATCTCTCAAAACCTATTAAAATGCAACAACTAGAACCCACTTGTAGTTACTCGCTTGTTGTTGCAATGCCATCAGTTCTCGATGCAATTGTTCTACTTTGCCAGCCATTTGGGTTTCACTTGCTCGAAGACGATCATTTTCCTCTCGGATTTGATCGCCTTCTTTTCGGGCAAGCTCTAACTCCTATGCAGCTTTTGATAAAAAAAAAACTAAACGAAAATGACAAAATCAAACACAGCACCTTTTCAACAACTGAAGTTGTCTGTTTTTGCATCTCGAACGAGGCCTCGAGACGAGCATTCGTCATTTTCACTTCTAAGACCATCTGCTCACTTCTAGCAAGACGATCAAAGTGGGTCCTACAAAGTTATAAAAGTTTTTGAAAAAGGCACTTTTTGAGAAGACACATACCTTTCATTTACTTCTCTGTCCTCCTTCAATTTAGCGATATACTCTTCGAGACGAGCTACTTTCACTTCGCTGGCTTGCGCCTAAAACGTATGGAAAGCAAATGATCAGAAGGACAAGGGAATTGAAAATGGATCAGAGCATTAGTTTCAACCTTGGCGACAGCTTCTTCTGCTTTAATTTTTGCTGCCCTAGCCTCTACGACGCTGACATTGTCCTCAGCGAGCTTTTTCAACTGTTCAGCTTGCGATTGGAGCTGGAATAGGAAGAATATAACTCAAATCCGGCCTCAAGCTTCAAGAAAGTATTTATTCAATGTATTAAAACAAAGACTAAAAACAGAACCTACCAGTTCAAATGTGGTATGCATCTGCTCCAGTTCTCCCTTCAAACTAGTTTCTGTTTTGTGTGAGGCTTCTAACTCGCGTTTCAGTCCCTCAATTCTGTAAACATGAAAAACTGTACATTCAAAAACAGATGAATACAAGTTTACACAAAATCCACGAACTCGGCATTCTTTGAGGTAAGCACAAACTGCTCAGCAGAACTTTTAGCCACTTCCAGTTCTGATTCCAATCGACGATTGATCCTTAAACGTCAATTATAATTCAAGCATTCACACTCTAAAACCCATAATCGTACTTCTGTAACTGAGCTATGTTGTCGAATAAACGAGCATTTTCTTCATCGTTATCATAAACATCGCTCTCGCCACCTCTACGTTCTCGTTCCAATACAAAGAGCAAGTGTTGTACCTGAAGGGGCAAATAAAGTCAATTATGAAGGAGCTCATGAAAGTACAGAAAAGCAGTCACCTGTTTGGACGCATTGGCGTAGTCCCTCTGGTACTTTTCCAGTTCCGCACGGGTAAAAGCCAATTCACGACTGGTCGAATCTCGAGCACTTTCGAGACGACGACGAGCTTCATCAGCTTCCTTAATAAAATTCGATGATAAATACATATACTTCTAATGCATTCTACTGAAAACTACAAGAACGTTGACTGCCTTAAATCTTTCCAAGCTAGTTTGCTTAAAATGTGCACTATAGTTTTTTGAAAACAAACTGAAAAAAAGAATAATTCAAACTTATAAGCTCGTTTCGATTCAATGACTTTCGAAACTAAAACCGAACAGCAAACAGACTGTAAGATAGTATCAAATAAAACTGAAGTTAGACTCGTTTAATAAACTTACCATGACCATAATTATATGTACAAAAGACCATAAAACCATCTATGGCTTTAGAAACATAACTCTATGGAAGACTCGAATCTACTTCAACACAAATCGCGCTAGATTAATGTCATAAAGGAGCGAAATGCCAAATAGGTTGCTTTCAGAGATTATCTATTTTGTTCAAGTAACTTACAATACATACCTTTAGTTGTTCCTGCAAACGATTATTGTGATCAAATGTCCTATCCAACAAATCCTTCTGATGGAATAGTTGAGGCGCACGATCTAGTGAACAAGGAACATTTATCATCTTTTTTAAGAAAAAAGGGAGTCAAAGAGATAATAGCAGAAAGAATTCATATGAATATACAATTAAGGAAAGCTTACTTTCGATTTCCTCCACCATTTCGCGCAAACTCATCTCTAGTTGCCTGTTGCGCTCACGAGATTCCGCCAGTTCACCCGTCAGCCTAGCGTGCTCCCTTAACGCAATAGATTCATGAAGTGCATTGAAAGAGCTCCATACTTTAGAAATGTTCAAAGAGCTAACCGCACTATGCTAGTCAGTGACTGCCCTCCACGTAGAAGCCGGGCTGTTTCAAGCGCTGCTGGAGAAAGTACAGCTAGTTCATCTTCACTAACATTCAGATGTACTGAAAACATTTGACTTTCAAGGTAAATGGTTCCTTAACAATAGCGAAAGTGAAACTTCAAGGGTGTTCCATATACTCATTCTGTGAAGATGGGCCCATTAAAATAACATACCGGCATGTTTTGATTTGAGGAGTTCATTCGCTTTCAGAAGTTCCTCTCTGAGCTCATTGATCTGTTCTTCTAGAAAGAATCATAAATTAGTTACAGACAAATACAGAGAGATTAAGTTATTACCCTTCTTAGCTAACTCAGCGCTGCTTGACCTCTTTTCTTCTATCATTTCTTCTTGGACTGCAGCCAATATTTCTTTAGTCTGTTCGAGAACACGCTCTCTAGCCTGCCACTCTTCACTGAAAATTTGAGTATTCATGGTTCAGCTGAGCTTTTATTACGTCTAGTACTTGAAAAATTATGAAACAGGTATGCAAAGACCACAAAGTGAATTAGGATCAACATTTTCGAGAAGAGCAGATTACAACCATGCTGACTTCAATTCAGCAGCAACTTGTTCAGCTTTTTCCAACGACTCCTTGTAAATACTGCAAAGCTCTCGTTCTTTACGCAATTCCGCTTCCAAATCAGCTACTGCTATGTTGTGTTCATTAGAAAGCTGAAAGATAAACTTCTAGAGTCAATATAACAAAAGGAACTCAGCTTCCGAACCTGAGTCATTCTCTCCAGAGCCTCGTCCGCGTGTTTTTTTCTTAGTTGGAGTTGGCCTTCGTGTTCCTCAGCTGCAAGTTGAAGTCGGACGATCTCATCTTTGAGAGCCAGCTTTTCCCGTTGCCATGATAGTTCTTTTGAGCTCTAAATCATTTTAGCAGTTTGGTTCATTCCACGGAGAGTGTCTCAGGTATATTATGGCAATATGGAAAAAGGGCATAGGTTATGAATCTGACAAAATCTACTGGCCCATGTTGCTCAACCGCTATCAATAACCCTTGTTCTATCCCTATCCTTAAATACACCTACATTGTAATACCAAAAGTCATCCCGACTCCAAATGGAATCAAAGAAATCGGAATACGAACTCAACTATTTTTCTGGCTGTTTTTCATCAGAATTCTTTTCATTTCACCGGACGAATTAGCTTAGGATTGAGTATGAAAGAAATTTTCAAAGTTTAAAACTACACAACTTTGTACCATACATTCGGAAAGTTTCGAGGCTATTAGTTTCAGATATGAACTGTTGTAAATAAGCTGGGCAAAGCCCACATACTTTAATCGACAAAAAGACAATGTTTCAAACAGGATCGGTGGCCTACGAAACTCACCAGCTCTATCCTAAGTTCAGCACATTTACTATCTTTCTGTGCTATTTCCTGTAGAAACCACTTGCGAGAGTTCGTGTACATCTCGCTTTCTGCACGCGCACGTTCTCGCTCTGCCTGAAAAACTGTTGACTTACAAAGCCACTCGGAAATAAAGAGTTTCACACAGAATATTACCAGAATTGTACGCATTTCTTGATCTGAATTGTTCTTTTCCTGCATCAAAGCTGCTTTCTCATTCAATGCTTTTTGAAGCTCATCTTTCAGGGCGAAGTTTTCAGCTTAAAAGGGAGTAGAACTACTCAACACTATTCAATATTCTCACAACAACTGTAACAATTAAGGTGCTAAAGAATTACTTACTTGCTATAAGGTGTTTCTCCTTTGTAAGAGTACGGATGGCAGCATCTCGTTCTTCTTTTTCGTGCTTCAATCTCTCTAGATCACAGTCAAGTGCCATCTTAAGAGAATGACGTATTAGTTGATGTTTCAATAGAGTTGGAAACATTGTACAATTATGTATGTTATTTTTGAAAATCTTAAAGTTTGAACTCCAGCAAACAAAGAGTGATAATAGAAGACTAATTCTACCCATTCTCAAAGAAAAAAAGGCTTTCCAATTTATGAACTACACCGCTGAGAGGTTAGCTTAATACCTGTCCTAAGAAAATCATGTAGATGAAGCCAAACCTTTTTCATTGCAAGTTCATTACGGGAAGTTTCAAGCTGCCTATATAAACGGGATCTCTCATTGGCGTCCTCGGCTGAAAACAACGTGAAGCAATTTGCTATAGGGGAAGGATATGGATGAATATCAAAAAAATCTTACTACTGCTAGCGATTTGTGACTGGAGTTCACTATTTCTGGACGACAACTCTCTGCACTTTTCTTTGACGTCAAGCAGCTCCTCCTCGATGTTGGACTTTGCGTGTCCTGAGAAAGTTTCATGTTGAATCTACGAAAGTGATAAAACAGAAACTACAAAAACTAACGTAGAGCAACCACTTCACTGAGTAGACTTTCTACGTTTGAATGGTCCTCAACTACATGAGCCTCAGATGAGTTTCCTTCCATCGTCACGTCCTCTACAACATTAGCAGGTGCACCATTGTCAGCAGAAGCTTAAGAACAATACAATTCAAAGAAGGAAGAACAGAACTTTAGGATTCCACCCAACTATTTAGTTTATGGCCCTATTCCTTGAACAAATGTCGTTGGAAACTTTGAAAATATTTCAACAGCATCAAGACTGCAACAGCACGTCGAGAACATCCCAATTTGTGAATTTCCCATTTCACTGTGGACTACCTGCCTTGTAACCGAGCGGAAACTTTTTTGAAGTTTTCAAGACTTATATCCTCTCACTATTCGTCAAGCCCTACATGGCTTGTACTAGAAAATCTCACTATGATAGCTGGCTCGTGTAGTTTTAAACGTTAACTAACGAGTGACGTCGAATGTATTCTGATGAAGGCTGCAGTAAATCTAACCAGGGACATCATGAAGAGCTTCCATAGATCCTTCTCCTAATGGGACTGATGTAGGATTTGTTGGTTTAACATCGCTTGCCACGCTGTCAGCGTCAGCCACCTCATCCAGAAGATGGCTTGGATCCATTTCAAACCGAACAAGTTACTGAAAGAAAAAATTATAGAATTGCAAAATGGTGACACACGTCTAGCCACAATATCAAGCTTTAGCAGGATTGATGATTATCTCCCATCGGAACATCTTAAAGAAGCGTTTCAAAATCCATATCCTCTCCCATACCTTCACATATGTTCGAAAAAACCATCACCGATTCACCCACCACAAGAAATAATAAGGTCGTCTAAGAGGACAAACACCCCGCCTGCCTTACCCACAACGGAGGAATAAGGTTCCCTGAGGAAGTCAAACAATTCGGTGTCACCGTTTGGGAGCCAAAGCCTTACAGTACAACCAAATAAGGGTAAGCAACAAAAAGTATGGAAAGGCCAGTTGTATTTTTTTTTTGTTCTCAACGGTCGCGCGTCTCTACGGTCCACGAAGCGGCAATGGAGCGCGGAAAGTCTTGCGATTTAGCTGACCGGGTCGTCAGGAATTACCAGCACTGAATTTTCACCATTCTTACTTAGCTTACTGGAAATGCTAATTTTGGTCATTTAAAAATATTGCATGCAGGATGCGAAATGTAGACTTTAGTTCTTTTGCAGAATTTACGAGACGCTTTCTGGGCTTCTTAAATTTTCAGATTTAGACATGAATTTGACCACACGTGGTGGGATGAACCGGTTTTTTCTAAGTTATTCCGTGTACTTTATGAGCTCAGAATTTCACCTTTTCCTAACCCAAATATCATCTGCTTACTCCTCCATTTTCATAACGCTTGCTCGGTATTTACAGATTTCAAAGATCTCTACAAAGTAGCTGTAGTAACAATTGTAAACGCCTTTAACTTTCGCAATTACTTTTTTGGCTGTTGAATATAAGTGATAAAGTAATGGTCTGAACTCCCTTTCTCGCTGTCTTGCTGTTAAACGAGTCATCACTCTGCTCGTGCTAAAAAGTTAAAGGAAGCTTTACAATGAAATTTTTATTTCCTTTGTTATTTTCAGATGGTTCTCCTCAGGAATGCCGTGAAAGTAGCAGCTTGCGTCTCAGGTTGTGCAGTTGCTGCCAAAGTTTGGGATGATGGCACCTTACGAAAGGTCCATGCATTCACCACAGAACGAAAGTCATTTGACGAGCATTTTCCACGAGGTTCTTGGGATGATAACTGGGACTAGTGAGTTGCTCTGCTCTGTTTCTTAGGAATCCCTTTGGAAGCTTATCTGTTCAACTAATGCCTTTTTCATTTTATGAAGAATTTTTGCTTTGTTTCATACATTAACCAGCCACCCACATAGAACCAAATAACGAACACCTGGCCATATCCTAACGATTGCCCCTGACCCTATTAATATAGAGGATGTCCAAAAAGGAATGCAGAAAACCAAAAATAATGATTTAGTAAAGTGGGAATGTTCTCAGCACGCTAAAGCGCTGAACTAGAACTGAACATTGCTGGGTCACAATTTATTACTTCCGCTTTTTTCCGCTTTCATTTGTAGGATTGGGGTATACCTCCCTCCCCTACCCTGATTAAGTCGACATAGTGGGTATTGTCCTCGTAAGACATGCTATATATAGACATGCTTGTGGCTATTAGCTGATCGCCACGGCAGTACGTACCCGAATTTGCCATCATAATTCAGATCTTGGTATATGGCCTGAGAATCATCTCACTTTTATCAGGTCAAGAACATGAAGAGCAAGTGTAGGCTATTGAAAATGAGCACTGGTTAGGGAAATGCTACGTTTTACTGTTCGGCAATTTACTTACTGAAATACTCTTCAGCCGATCTCCGTCGTTTCTCCTCAATAAAAAGAAATACGCAGAAGCAAATGAAGCAGAGAAGAAGAAAATGGACGAGGAGGTAAAATCGAAAGCCACTAGGAACATTTTTCTCATTCGTCATGGCCAATATTTCATGGATTCAGAAACGAAAAACCTTACTCCACTAGGTGAGTCACTTATAATGTCAAACGGCCGTTTCATAGTTACAGCAGCACACTGACTATGTCACTGTTCGTGAATATTGTCACGAGTGTGACTTAGACCTGGTGTATAGACCAATCAACTAGACAAATCATGTGGACTTGGGTAAGGGTGTTGTGGTGGGAGATAGCGAATAGCGCTAGGCCGATCTGAAGGTTTATAGGAGTTTTCCTCTTTTTCTGTTTGAAAAATGCCTCACCACTCTTGCACTGCTTGTATAGGAAAAGAACAAGCTGCATACCTTGGAAAACGCTTGGCTGAATCCGGAATGAAATTCGATAGCCTCGTCATGTCGACAATGCCGAGAGCTACAGAAACTGCTGAGATTATACTGGAGCATATGCCAGACTTGAAGAGGTTAGCAAGCTATTGTTCACTACATCCTTTCTCAAACCCTCACAAATCTCAAATTGTTAATGAAATTGCCCGTTCGTCATTCAGGACGTCTTGCTCCCTGATTGAGGAAGGTCCACCATATCCACCAATTCCCGCCGTAGATCACTGGAAACCACCTCACTCCGTAAGTTCTATATAAATTTTCCTATATTTCTGACCTTCCAATGGAACTTGTTCATTTCTCTTGCAATGGGTTTGAGGAGTTCTTCGCCGAAGGGGCCAGGATAGAGTCAGCGTTTCGGCGGCACATTCACCGCGCTCCACCTTCGCAAAAAGATGATTCATACGAAATTATTGTATGTCACGCGAATGTCATTCGATATTTCGTTTGCCGGTACGTATCCTTCTAATCATTTTGCATATCTTTGTTGTGTTTCGATTTTTATGCTTTTCGTTTCTCCAACTTCATTATTTAATGGTCAAGTTTTATTTACTGTTGGTGTGGCGCCCACCAAAACATTCTAAAGTTAGAAAAGGGAGGGATTTTCCTTGAGAACAAAATTGAAAAGGGGTTCTGATGTGATGACATTGATGTCGCTGTCTTAGTGCACTCTAGAGACTGGCTTTTACGAATTTATCTTTCTAAGTCACTCTAATTAATCATGAAATTCATCACGAAATGAGCGTTTTCTGAATCCTTTGTGCTTCAGAGCTCTACAATTTCCACCTGAGGGATGGCTACGAATGTCCCTCGGAAATTGCAGCATCACATGGTTAGTGATCAGACCATCAGGACGAGTTAGTCTGCGCAGCTTAGGAGATATTGGACATATTCCGCCTTCGAAAGTCTCTTTCACATAATATTCCGGTTTGATACTATTATATTTATGTTTTCGATCAGACCACGTTGTTTTGGTCTCAAAACCAACCCATGACTTTCTTGCTTTCAAGTACTTCTTGCTCGAAGTGTTTTATGAGTTTTGAAAGGTCCTCAAACTAGTAGGTCATATTATGTAGATGTAAACGTGCATACTTACATAGAGATGGATAGGTTGTTTGAGCGTTGCTTGTTACTTAACGTCCTGAATTTTGGTTGAAGTTTGTTGGCTTTTTAATATCTGTCGATACTTGTTTTCCTAAAACCCTAATGTTTTTCGTTTCTTTGGAATACCACTTTCATGTCTGACGGTTACAAAAGCATGGCTTTTAAATCATGGGCTGGATATAATTGGTCTTGCGAAGTTTTGTGCATCAGCGTAAACTAAATATAATAAATATTTTAATGTGTGCAAAGTGTGTCATTCAACAGTACAATAGTTCAACTGCTAGAAAAAGCTAGGTTACTCCGCTTTTGAGTCTCAAAAAGGCTTTTTAATGGTTAATTCACCAAAGTAATTCTTTCGGTGACTTGTCCCTTTTCTTTACTTAGTGAATAAAAAAAATTCGTGCCAGCTTGCTATGGACAGTATCTCTGTTCTGCTGTGCCGAGTCAATTAAAACCTCTTGTTTTGTCGCAGGTGTATCCTTGCATACGTGTGTGGAGTCTGCGGAAGCGGTTGGTCGTGCTCTTCGAATCAGCCAAAAGCTTGCATTGGAGTATCTGGGAAGTGCTCGGAAGACGATTCGAGACAGTCTTCAATAACTGAGCCCCTTGTCCACCTTGGTTAACCGGGGTAGGTGCCCGAACCTACGAGCCCCCACGTCAGAGTCTGAAAGGCCACCAGGTAACCATATGACGATCCAATAACGTAAATTGGCTTCACTCCTCTGAATCCGAGGGAGCACCCAATACGGCAGCGTTGAGTAGGAGCGCTCGGAGAAGGTTGCCCTAATTACGATGCCGTAGAGGCTGCCTATAAGGAGAAAGACTACGATGGCGATCTGCACTTTCAGTACACGGACGCCTGCATCGGAAGCTTGTATCGAAGGTCTGATGCTGTAAGCTGAGAAGATCAAGCGTTTCGTCGGACTGACCGAGACGCGGAGGCATCGCCCAGGGTAAGCCATTTTCGAGACTGGGGAAAGACTTTTTGAAACATGTGATTGCAGAGGCGATGGTGGCATAGTTGTCGTGGTCAATACGTACTTGGCCGTCAACATCGATTCATACCGAGACCGAGAGCTCGATTACTCAAATCGGACCTTTGCGATTAAGAAGATGTGGCTTAGGCCCAGCTCCAACCATTTCTTTGTCTCCGAACCAACATCAAGCTTCGAAGAGGAGCAGCTGCAAGCATTTCATATGGTCCTGGAGAGTCTCAGAAATAACCAGATCTTCTTCAAGGTCATCGTCGGTGATTTCAACGCCAGTATTGAACCCAAAGAATGTCTGAGCAGCTATATATTAGGACTCACGGATCGGAATGAAATGAGCAAAGAGACAGACCGTTTGAGTTTATCAGTCGACCAACACATCCATAGTAGTTCGCAGGTCCAGAAGCCTTCTCAGTTGCGATGAACCCGGGAGTCACGTGGGTCCGTTCTTCAGTGCGCGGCGAGAGAGCTGCGAAGTTCAGATAGAAAAGCTCCAAGAATGTTATCAACTGGGATCACTCCGATTCTTTGGCGAGTTTATGGGAAGATTCCGTTAGCGACAACATCGGCGAAGAATACGACTGGATTGTCGAACATCTTCCAGGTAAGCTGAGAGCCTCAAAGATGCTAAGAAACATGCCTTTTCCAAGACTCTCGAGCTGATATGCCAGCATAGGGTGGTACAAGCATCAGGCAGTATCAGATAAAGTCCGAGCTTGCGAAATTATGCAGAGATGCGATAAAGGAGGAACTGAAAGAGAGAACGGCAACACTTATGGACGAAACCGTTAAGGCCGGAAAGAGCTTCTGCAAACCTGGCAGGAGCTTCGCCAATTACGAGGCGGAGATGACCTTCTTTCGTTATTCTGACAGAACACTTACTGAATCTCCAAATGCAATTTAGGAAAGTCATCTACGACTTTTGCGTGAATCCCTTCGACAGCCACGTCTACCTGCCTACCTACCATCGTAAGCAAGAGGGAGATGTCGTCCCCTCGGTTTTCCCTTTCTAAATTCGAAATGGCTTCACGTCGAACAATTGTACGGTGCACCGATAGATCCCAAGGGCCTTCCAGTAGTCATCGTCAACCCTTCACGAAAGCTGTGAACAAAATTGATGCCATGCTTCGTGTTCCTTACGCGATGACGACCCACTGGCCTACACTGGCTAAGACAAGAACAAATGGAGTACTTGTGTCCGCTCGTCGATCAACAGAAGAACAGGTGAGATACGAGTGATGTAGTTGAAAGTGTGAAAAGTGAGGGGGTAGAAGCCAGGAGGAGAGAGGGTTGGTCGGTTAGATCGCCATCGTGGAGCAGGTACAGTATAACAGGTACGGTGTTACGGTGTTGTGAAGGCTACCACCACTTTTCGAGTAGATCTTTTCTGGTGGGTGCCTAGAGGTGGGGCCTCATCTCCATCCTCCCTAAGTCTGGTGTTGATTAATCGACTCCCTGCCAATGAGAAATTGACAGAGATTTTGCATCAGTGGGTGGCTTCTTCACAACATGTATTACCCGGGATCAAAATCCAGACCCACATCGATAAATTTCGAGGCCTTTCATTAGTTCTTGACTGGTCTTACAGGATAAAAACACTTGGAGATACCAGAACTATCGCGGAAGGGGTAAGAAAGTCGGGCAAATAGGCTTACATTCAAGTCCCGAATAGAAGCCGAGTACGTTACGCATCCTGAGTGAGGCTGATCATTGCAGGTCTTTTTCACATTATTCGTAGGAAAACTTCTGAAACGGCGCTTGTCGGCTTTGTTGAATGGAAATTTCGGGGTGATTGATGTGTTCGGGCTCAACAGTGGTTTGTGATGTCTGGAAGACCAGCTGACTCTGTTTTCTACCGGACAGTGAGGAATTCACTCAGGCTTGTCAGAATCTTTATGGCAGAGCACTGCCTCTTTGCAGCATTTTCGGTTATGCTGGAACTTGAAATCGTATTCGAGGCATGCTCACCGCAAATAAAACCCCTGTAGTTAGTTTGATCAGTCATGCAATACGCCATGCCTTTGACTCCCAATCAGAATCGTAGACACATTCGAAGGCGTCTACTTTCCGGACAAGAACTTACGAAGCCGTTTGACTTTGAATACTTAGGTGGGCTACCTGTTTTATTGGGAAATCTATTACCAATTAAAGTAACCATAAGGATTGAACGCTTGTTTATACTATAACTACTCATTCCTACTTTTTAGTACTGTATTATTTTGTAGAGTCAACTGAGGAGCAGTATAGTCAGAGGAAGAGCTCTTTCAAGCTCTTGCAAGCTTTTTTAGCCGAAGAAAAAAAAAGTTCTGCCACGTACTGCTCACTAATCGCCTATTAATTATCGCTGCAGCTACTAACAGTGAGAGCTGGCCTTATCCTCATCAATTTCGCCTCATGTCCGTCACGGACCTCGTCATACTACCAGTGCACAACGCATTTGCTAGCCGGTTCGTTGCCCAAGGTTTTCAGATTTCCGTTCGTTTGTATGCATCGTAATTATTCTTGTTACTAGTTTTCAACATTATATAAATAGATAATATTTAATCGAGCAACTGACCACAGAATGATCTTTGGACTTTGTGGCTATCGTTTTTTCATCGCAATTTTCTTTATGTTCTTGACCACTACTATTGATAAAGAGCTTCGGCCCCAACGTCTCATTGTGTCAAGACTCCCGTGGATCAGATCTCTCCAGAAGGAATCCAACTAACAAATTCTGATAATTTCACCGAAGAAAAGCCTACAAAATTTGCAAGGTTTCAGCTCGACTCGTTATTCGATTTCCTGGTCCTATTTCAGTTAATCTTGCGTTGAACTATCTTTTTTCATAAATAGAGAGGCTTCATAGTCTAGAATATACTTTTCATCCATAATCTCTATATCCACTATCCTTGTTGGTTTGCCTTGATGTCTGCAAAACACCACTGAGTGGTGCACCGCCCACGTCAGCACACGCCCCGCCCGTTCTTTTTTCAAATATGCTCTACTTAACATATCCGACGTTATTCGAACCTTAAAATTTACTCCATGTCGGTGATGCCAAATATTGTAGGAACTTTAAAATTGTGGATCAACCACGTTACCCTTTCTATCTGTCCGTTGTAAGAGATTTTTGAGCTTTCTCCTGATCGTCATTAAACGATTTCGTATCAGGTGTCACCTGATAAATTGGTTGTAAATCTGGCGAGGTTTTTGAGCAACTGTCCTCGAATGACCAGAAATATCTGCCTGGAACTAAACTGATTCCGTCGGAGTGTTTTTTACGACGATCATTTGTTCGCGCAAATTCCTGGTCAGCTTCATCTGGTGATCCTATGATCTACACTGATTTTAGGAATAATCGATCCTCTGTAGCCGATCAACTAAGCGCCGCTTCATAGTCTTTCCTATCTACTCAACAAACGACTTCTTCCTCCTGTCCATCTTTAACTTATAGTTACGATTACTATAGAGTATTCTGGAGTATTTTTAAAATCTTATAGGAATTTA